ACGCACACATCCAAACTACTCAATATTTTGGGCTGAAATATTTAGACAAGGTATATACACCATTCCTCTATAGTTTGGCGCTTAAATTTCATACGTACGCCGTCTTTTATTTCTGAGACTCTGTTAATATTGGGATGGTCCCTTAAATCCACCCTAAAATGCACTCAAATTGATTATTTAGTTTTAAAAATTATCAAAGGGGTTTAATCTACCTGCTTGGATTCAATTGCATTAAAGATAGACCAACCAAAAGATTTTACCGAACACTCACAGGTGGTGCTGGCTTGTTTATATCTGCAGAAGATGCCAGATTTAAAAAAAAACCACAAAAAAACTCAATTTGTCATATGTTTGTAAATAATTAACAGAGGATGCCAGTTTAAAAAAAAAAATCAATTCATCATATTTTTGTAAATAATTAACATAAATTGAATTAAATTTTTGACAGTCATTTGTTATAAAGATGGTAGAAAGATTACAAGGTTTACGTCATCCAGCTCCTACTTTAAGTGATGAAGATATCGACCAAGAAGAAGAAGAGGTAGAAGAAGAAGAAGATTTAATTAGAGATGAGTTTAATTTACATAAAGTGATTGTAGCTGTTACCAAAGCTGGAAAGGTACAAATATTTTAAACACTTTAGGTGGTATACTATTTTTTTTTTGTTTAAATTAAAGTAGTCCCTTGTCAGTGTTGCAGGATTTGGATGGGGGGAAGTGTCTAGTTGTTCCAATGGGACATAAAACCAATGGCTCATTTATAGTATCGGCACTACATGAACCCCTGACATTTGGAAATTGAAATAAAAACAGGTTGTAGTGTTGCAATCCAGACAACATTTCCTCATAGCACACTGCATGATGTATGTCAGTTGTCATTTGAACGATTGGTGCAGAACAGTAGGACGTTAAACCCCATTTCTTTTCATTACATTTCTAAAGTTGTACTGAATTTGTGAAATGGTCATTCATTACCTTTCTAAAGTTGTACTGAATTAGTGAAGTATTAAAAGTTAACTATGAAGATCAAGTTCAGTAGCAAGTTGGAAATAAATAGCTTCAAGATATTTATTGGATGTCAGATATTCTAATTCTCAAAATATGAAACTTGTTAAATTACAGCTAAATTAAATATATAACATACAGTAGAACTTGTATTAAGCAAGCACCCAAGGGAAATTTAAAAATGCTTGCTTAATGGAGGTGCTCTTTGACCAGAGGTATCCAATATTGCCCTAACCCCTACCACAAAAAATAAAGATATAGATTGCATATATTTTTTCATTCATGTAGTATAACAATAACAATACATGTACTTTTTATCTAGTTGTGAATTCAAAGCAGTCGCGTATACATGTTTGTTTAGTAATACTGGATCTTGGCTCCCCAATATTTCTTTTACTTTCATCATACTGAATCATAGCGTCTAAAGTAAAAGCGTTTCAAAATGCCGTGAATTTGGGTATTTCCCACCACAACTATTTTAGCGATTACGCGACCACTTAATAAAATCTCTGTGCTTTTTGTGCTGACATAAATTAATTACGCTTGGGTGCATTGGGAGCGAACATCAATAAATTTGACTGTCGCTGAATCTTGCGCCGAACGAAAATTCTTTACTCAAATCTCGAACATAACTTCTGTAAACTTGTCATTTTGTACCAACCTTCAATACTACTGTCTACCATTGTGATGCATTCGATAATATTTATCCATTTTTGTGAAGAATATCAATGAATTAATTTTATTTTATCAAAAAAGCACATGAACAAAAAAAAACATTGCTGATTTTATCACCGATTTACAGGGGGTGTAACTCTGTAATATTATAGGGGGAGCTAAAACGTCTGTTTAACAACAAAGTGGCAATGGAAAAGAGATACTAGATGATCGTGACAAAACTTGGTACTTTCATTTTATTTAATCGGTATAAAATAATGTGTCGTTACACGTGAAAACAATGATCAGGTTAGTCGTTTAATAAAACAAAAGATTAATAAACAGATAATCCCGGGTTGATTGTTATTTTTACATTTCTTTTTACCTGATCAGTGGGGGTCCAGTTAATTAACTACTACTCAAGTGATTAGCGGGAGTTTTACCAAGAAAGAACGACAAGATGAAGATGGTATCATTCAACAATGGCCGTTGAATGGGCGATGTTTTGTTGAATTTATTAGTAAAATAGTGACCGCTTGCCGCGTTAGAGAATTGACCGTTGATACAGTAGAATTTTTACGGGGGGAATTAATCGTGATGCCCGTTGCACGCGTTGAACAGGTGCGTGTTTAGTAGGGGTTAAATTACTTTAAAATCGCTCGGGGGGATTTTTTGGTGCTCGTTGAAGCAAGTGTTCGCTGATTAGGAGTGCATGCCCGAGCAAGTTCTACTGTATACCCCCCTTTATATTAAGGATGAAATACTTTGATTTTATATCTTAAATTTGAATTGTTGAAATAATCAAATTGATAATGAGGTTAACAATCAATTGAGTTGTTAATTACCATAGATGAAATTAACAATTGATTGAATTGTTAAATACCAGAGATGAGATTAACAATTGATTGAATCACTAATTGCTTAATGGGAGAGTGACAATTGATTATCCCCCCACCCACACCCACACACACACACGCACGCACACACACCCCCCACGAGCACCCCCACCAACTCATGAATTTCTATATGATATTGTGTATGACAAACTATTTTTTTGATAATGCATTTTATTTATAATAAAATATTCAACTGTAATACTTTGATGGTTCAATTTTTAGATATTTGGTATTAGAAGTCAAACAGGAAAGATTGTATGGCAACATTATTTACCTGATTTATCTCCCTTTGATAAATACAACCGCCAGACCATGTTATTATTTGTTCAGCGTACTACTGCTCATTTTCCTAATCCACCACAGTGTGCTATACTGGGTAAAAATAAGGTAAGAAGAGGGATTTAATCCATTTATTCATTGCCTGCATGTAAATGGTTGGAATTTAAATCTTCCTAGAACATCAGATACCACTTCCCAAGTCACGTAGTTAACATAATTTAGGCAAACCTTGTAACTTTTAGCCTGTTTTGTATTCTGAAAGTGACCAATTTAATGTTAGTTTAAGTGGTACCTCCAGTTAAATCAATCTGATTAAAAGTTTTTTATACTTTCGATGGCCTCCACTACATGAAGATCTGACCGGTTGTAGTGGAAGGTCGGGTCAGAGGTCATACGAGCGGCTTTTAACCCTATGACGTCAGGCATTTGATTAACCAATCAGCGTTGATGTTTCTAGTGGGATAGGGAATCACGTGGCTAAGTGGGTAAAACGCTGGCTCGCTAGCCTAGAGGTCGGGTTTTCGATCCCTGCATTGGCCAAGAAAGTTCATCCAGATTTTCCGGCGTGGTTCCCCCTTGTCAGTGATGCAGGACGGAGGGTCTGACAAGGACAGCTGTCTAGTCCTTCGGGTGAGACGAAAAACCGAGGTCCCGTGTATACCTTGGAATGCACGTAAAAGATCCCTTGACAGTTGGAATTCGATATAAGAGTAGGCGATAGTGCTGCTGCCTGGGCAAAATTTCCCTCATAGCACACTGTATGGCGTATGCCCGTCTTCATTAGCCCAGCATAGGAGCAGAACAGTAGGACGTTAAACCCCATTTCATTTCTAGTGGGATACCCACAGTTCCATGCACCACACACCAAGGACTCGCCGTAACAAACCGTTTCATTGGCTAACCCCTCACATCAACCAGAACGCAGGTTATATAACAACTCTTTCAGATCCTGGTGTAGTAAAGTGAAGTAAAACAGAATTTTGAACTATAGAAAACGAAACGAAATAGGATCTGCGTTTTAATCCGATTGCAGTTAAATCTTTTCCGTCTTCATTAGCCCAGTCGGTGCAGAAAAGTAAAATGTTAAACCCCATTTCATTTGTTTACAGAGAACAGGAAATGCATTGATCTTTACAATTAACCCAGCTCTAGGAGTCACCATAGCTGGAACACCTTCAAATGGCCTTGACCTGGGTTACAAGGTCGTACAAGCATCTTTATTAAATGAAGTTGATGAACATTTTCTGAAGGGAATAATTTTGATGGACACTCAAGGAAAGGTATGCAAATATTATTTTATGTAAAATCTCACAATTGAACAAAGTTGTGTTAGAGAGATTATTTTGTTGAACATTTTGGGATAAAATTTGTTTTTCAGAATTATATACTGCTTATGTGGGGATCCAGAAGTCCCACATGTTGTCTGTCACTGGCATGTGTTTTTAATTTATTCATAGTGCACCACATGCCCCACACCCCTTCCTAGGTGCTACCAAAATCTAGTTGAAATTAGATCTTTATTTTGTGCATACAGATTATCCTTGTCCATACTAAAGATATAAACTTAACAAAAAACAGCACTTCATATGGGGGGGGGGGGGGGGTTGGTTGGCCAAATGGTCACAAGGTCTGTCAGTAAGTCATGTTGTGTGGTTTCGATTCCTCGCTTGTATATGATAAGGAGTAGGGTTTTCTCCGGGTCCTCCGGTTTCCTTCTAATGCTAAAGAATCCTATGCACAAGTGAATTATTGAAATAAAATTGAACCATATGTTAGTCCCGAAATGACCTAGTTTGTATGTGTGGACATTAAACCCTCTCTCTCTCTCTCTATCTCTCTCTCTCTCTCTGTACTCATAATGTGCCTGTCTTGTTAAATTCACCATGTTGGGCGCAATATAGCCCTTTTGGAGCTGACGTGCAAAAAAACTCCATTTCATTTCATATGTGTCACCTTTTCTGTTATAGATTCATGTTTATCCGGAGAGTGTACAGATATCCTCATCTCTACCATCTTTATACTTACATCTAACAGATCTAGATACCAATATTATAACAGGATACAGGATCGTTAATACTAATGATAAGGTAAGTTACGGGTCAATCAGCATGTTACAGGATTGTTAATACCGGTGATAAGGCAAGTTACAGGTCAACCAGAATATAACAGGATCGTTAATACCAATGATAAGGTAAGTTACAGGTCGATCAGCATATAACAGGATCGTTAATACCAATGATATGGTAAGTTACATGTCAATCAGAATATAACATGATCATAATAATACTCATGATAAGGTAAGTTACATGTCAACTAGAATATAACAGGATCGTTAATACTAATGATAAAGTTAGTTACAGGTCAACCAGTATATAACAGGATCGTTAATACCAATGATATGGTAAGTTACAGGTCAACCAGAATACAACAGGATCGTTAATACTAATTATAAGGTAAGTTACGGGTCAACCAGCATATTACAGGATCGTTAATACTAATGATATGGTAAGTTACATGTCAACCAGCATATAACAGGATACAGTATCATTTATTACTCTGATAAAGTAAATTATGCGTCAACCAGCATATAACAGATCATGAATACTCATGTTAAGGTAAGTTAGGTTCAACCAGAATGCAACACATGATTTAAACTACAGCAGCTAAACATAATCAGTTTGAGAGTGACACCAAGGTCAGTTCTATTAAGGGTACAGCATCTCCACAAACAATATTTTCTTCTGTGGAATATTGAAAATGGCTAGTAACAGTATATTATTTTACATCATTGAACACAAAAAGACTTTTTGAATTGAACTAAAAACAATCAAGGCAACAGGGATCCCTTATTATAAGAGATCACTGATTATTATAGCAGGATTGACTTTATCTGATGTTTCTGTATGTTCTTACTAGGGATTGAAGGCAGATGAAGTATGGAATATAAATCTACAGAAATCACAGCAGACTATAACACAAGTTGTATGTAAACGAGCTATAGGTATGTACTATATTAATTATCTAATCGTTCCATATGTTGTATTAAACCACAGCAAATGCAAATTGGGAGTTTATATATATAATCCTATATTTGTATCTGTTAGAGAATATGGTGGCCTGTGGAACCTCAAGAGTTTTATATAAACAAACTGGTCTTCTTGGCAGCTGTCATCATACCGAACACTTTACACAAAATATTAGGGTAAAATATACATGCCTTTAAAGGAAAAGTTCACCCAAGCAGATTATTTTGCTTAGTCATAATATGTACACTATGAAGAAACACTTCTGTGTTGAAGAATTGAAACAATATTAAAATTTTAAAGATCAAAAAGGCATATTCAATTTAATAAAAGTCACTACAAAGGCCTGTGCTATATTCCTGTCCATTGATATTTCTCAACCAATCAAAACTAAGATTAATAGTTATGTCAGCAAGTTTGTGAAGTCAAGGTCTGGACTATATGACGTTGTTCGTAGTGCATTATGACGTCAAACATTTGGATACAATGTCGACGCTCACTACCAATGCTTATCTTTATAATTAAATGTATTATTAACGTTTTTCAGTGGTTTTAATTTTTATTGTTGTCGTCCACGTCCTTCAATCCGTCGGTCTATAGGCTAAAGTTAATATCTGATTGGCTTTAAATTTATACTCAGTGTTTAAGGTCATGAGACGAAGAAGCCTATTGATTTTCAGCAATTTTCGATAATTACTGCCAGAGTTATGGCCCTTGATCACTTCAAAAAATCTTGTGGATGCTCTAGAGGTCAAAGTTAATATCCGATTGACATTAAATTTATACACAGTGTTTAAGGTCATGAGATGAAGAATCCTATTGATTTTCAACGATTTTCGATAATTACTGCCAGAGTTATGGTCCTTGATCACTTCAAAAAATCTTGTGGACGCTCTAGAGGTCAAAGTTAATATCCGATTGACATTAAATTTATACACAGTGTTTAAGGTCATGAGATGAAGAATCCTATTGATTTTCAATGAATCTTTATGACTTGAACAGCTAAATCCATGATGTTAAAAGTTTCGTATACTAAATGTTAGCATGGGCCCAAACTTTATAAAAAACAAACAAATTCTAATTTGTTTTCTGATAATTACTTAATGAGTTGTTACTCTTAATCAGATTTTAATGTATTATAAATGTTTCATTACCAAAAAAAGTAAAAATATGCGACAAAGTTTGTTGACTGGGGGATCACGTGGCTAAGTGGGTAAGACGCTAGCTCACTAGCCTGAAGGTCGGGTGTTCGATCCCTGCATTGGCCGAGAAAGTTCATCCAGATTTTCCGGCGTGGTTCTCCCTTGTTAGTGATGCAGGACGGAGGGGCTGACAAGGAAAGCTGTCTAGTCGTTCGGATGGGACGAAAAACCTAGGTCCCGTGTACACATTGGTGTGCACGTAAAAGATCCCTTGGCAGTTGGAATTCGATATAAGAGTAGGCCGAGGTCCTGTGTACACATTGGCGTGCACGTAAAAGATCCCTTGGCAGTTGGAATTCGATATAAGAGTAGGCCGTAGTGCCGCTGTCCGGGCAAAATTTCCCTCATAGCACACTGTATGGCGTATGCCCGTCTTCATTAGCCCAGGTTAGGAGCAGAACAGTAGGACGTTAAACTCCATTTCATTTCATTTCTTGTTGACTGCCCGGACGATATAGCTGCTGTGGGCGTATGTTTTGTTGCCTGGCAACCTATCTTTCTATTATACATTAATTTATGTTCCAAAGAATGTCTTGCTTTCATGAAATTATTTTTTAATGAGGAATTTAAAAACATGACTTTTTCGACATTCATATGTGAATGGCATTCTTGTGACATGGAAATCTGTGCCTATAATCTATGCTGGAGTTCCAGCTATTATAAGACAATTCTTATTGCTATCACTAAGGGGATCTCTCACAGCTGAAGTCTTCTGTGTACAATCCAATTCATTTTTTCTGTGTGTCTGGAAAGTGTTAGATGACTATTTTCTGTGTCCTTGTAAACTATGTATAAACTATTTGTGCTTGATAACGATAAGAGAATACTTGTCGAAACGTCGTGCTATGCCTATAAACCAGTGATTGTATTTCCATATAAACTGTTTTGTGTTTTTAACTATAAAGATGTTATATTGTATTTTTTTTGGTGTTTTTGTAGAACATGTACATTCCCAGGGTCGTGTATTAGGTGATAGAAGTGTGTTGTATAAATATTTAAATCCTAATCTAATGGCTGTTGTAACAGAAGGTGAAGAACCACCATCACCTGGTACACACAAAGGTTCGTAGAATAATAGAAAGACATTTTACATAGATTGTTGAAATGATACAACCTCTTTGATTTTGTTGGGTTTTTTCATCAAAAAAAGGTCTTGATTTAATTTAGTTTGTGTTGAGTGGATGTTAAACCCTCTCTCTCTCTCATTACTCATTACATGACCATTACTTAAAAAATGTAATGATTCCATTACCATTACTCATTACATGACCATTACTTAAAAAATGTAATGATTCCATTACCATTACTCATTACATGACCATTACTTAAAAAATGTAATGATTCCATTACCATTACTCATTACATGACCATTACTTAAAAAATGTAATGATTCCATTACCATTACTCATTACCCTTATTACAATTACCCATTACCATTACCCCAGCCCAGTATAGTAACAAGAATGAATAGTAATTTATTCTTTCCCTTTATTTTCAGGTCCATCTAAGTTTTTCAGCATATATTTAGTAGATGGTGTTACAGGTCATATAGTCTTTCATGTAAATCATAAAAGATGTCACGGACCAATTAATACAGTACATTCCGAGAACTGGGTTGTTGTAAGTACCATCAATCCCATTAAAATACAGATCTATATTTCATTTTGTTTTTTTTATACTTTCGATGGCCTACAATACATGAAGATCTGACAAGTTGTACTAGAAGGTCACTTCAGGGGTCGTACAAGCAGCTTTTGACCCTATGACGTCATGCATTGATTAATCAATCAGCGTTGACGTTTTTTGTGGTTTACCCACAGTTCCATGCATGGCACGCCAAGAAGTCGCCGTAGCAGACCGTTTCATTTGCTAATCCCTCACATCATCCAGAACACGTCAATGATAACAACTCTTCCAGATCCTAGTGTAGTAAAGACAAGTAAAATGAAATTTTGAACGAAACGAGATAGGATCTGTTTTTTAATCAGATTGTAAGTATTATTAGATAAATATGTGACCAATATTTATACACTCACATTGAAATGTGAAGCAAAAAGAAAAATGATTGGCGTGCCCAAGTTGAGCTTTGTTGTGGATTCCATAAAGTAGTTAGGTTTTTAAACGTGAAAATACTGTGTAATTCAACATGGCATCAGAGGGGTTTAATATATTTAGGTACAAAATAGTACCAAATAGTTTATATATATGAAAGTCAAGGTTTGGACTAGGCCTTGAAATGTGGTCGTATATTTCTAGAATTATCCGTTAAGTGCTCCACACTTTTACTCCCAACACATTATAGTCGGTATTGAACTAGATGGGTTTGAATCCCGGTGTAGGCCAAAAAAACCCCCCAAAAAACCTTCACCATTTTTCAAGAACAGCCTTCACTAAAACCGGCATCATTCTATTTGAAGGTTCTTTTGATGGGAAAATATTTTTGTATTGCATTTGTTTATTTCAGTACTCCTACTTCAGTGAAAAGCATCGTCGACATGAGATTGCTGTATTAGAGATGTTTGAGGGAAAGGAACAGAGTAATTCTACTGCCTTCTCCTCCCTCTCCCCTCCACCTCAACCCCTAGTCTTACGTCAGTCTTATGTCTTCTCGTCACCTTTATCAGCCATGGCAACCACTGTTACGGAAAAGGGGCTGACAAATAAAAATATTATTAGTGAGTTTATATATATTCGATTTGGGGGGGTTAGATGGCCGAATGCTTAGCACTTGCGAGCTGTTTCATAAGGTTTGTCATTTAGTCAACTGCCGGGGTTTCGATTCCCCGGTTGTACATGACAAGGAGTAGGGTTTCATTTACCAATATGGCCATACCTATCTGAATTTGTGTTATTTGAAAACACCTTTTGAAAGGAACCCAGATCTTTGGGATATAAATATATATTATAAGTTTCATCGAAATCGAATAAAAAATATTTACATCTAGCGGGTCCACAACCCTGGTAATATATACTCCTACACTATTTGCGTACGGGGAATGGCTATTTTACGAAATTCTAATTCAACAGTCATTATTGTGTAACAGTGATAATTTAAATATTTTTTTTAAATTGAATAAGAATTGTGATCTCTAGAGGGACCACAAGCTAAAAATGTGATTTTTCATACAATGAAATGAAATGAAATGAAATGGGTTTAACATCCTACTGTTCTTTCATACAATCAGGGGCCATAATCCAGGAAATTATGGTCTGGTGTGCACAAATATCGAAAGGAACCAAGATTTGTTTTGGTTTAAAACTTACGTTTCAAGTTTCAGCAAAATCTGATGAAAAGTGTAACATCTAGAGTGTCCAAGAGCTAAAAATGTGATTTTTCATGTGGATGTGTTTGCTCTTATCAAAATCTTTCAGTTACAAATTTTAGAGTTTTGAAATTTTAAACAATAATCATCATTGAGACTCCAGTACCTATTTATGTATCCAGACCCTTAACTAAGCGGGGGGTTGGATGGCTGAATGGTTAGCGCGCGCGCGCTGTATCATAAAGTCTGTTATTGTGTCGACTGGCGTGGTTTCGAATCCCCGGTTGTACGTGACAAAGAGTAGGGTCGCCTGTCCAACCTCGTGGGTTTTCTCCGGGTCCTCCGGTTTCCTCCCACTGCTAAAGACCCCTACGCGCAAGCGAATTATTGAAATAAAATGAAACCATATGTTAGTCCCGAAATGACCTAGTTTGTGTCGAGTGGACGTTAAACCCCATTTCTCTCTCTCTCCTTAACTAAGCATTATTTAGATTGGTTTACAGGATTTCCACTTATTTCTTTCTAATTTGGATTAATGTTCTTTCAGTATCGTTAAAATTTGGAGGTTTACTGTCATTACCTAAAGCTTTATTAGATCCTAGACGACCTGCCATGCCATCACAAGAAAGCATGTAAGTCTTATTAATATATGAAACTAATATTAATAGTCATGGGTAAATAAACCAAAATAGTAGTAGATTGTTTTATTAAAGGTACATTATGTAAAGAATTAGATAAAGAGTTGGTTGTTCAAAAATAGATAATGCAAAATGAATATATTGAAAATTTCATTCAAATTACTTTAATCTGAGCCATGTTATCAATAATTGTAGTTTTGACAAGATGTGTGTATTAATTGTGTATTATCGTAACCACGGTCATGGTATATTCGAGGTGTAGCCTCACCTTCCCATTTTTAAATTAAATCATTAAATGGCTGAACCGTTCTAATCTACTTAAAATTGGAGCCATCCAATGACATCGAGAGTTGATTATAGTCTCGTCATGTTAATAAATGTGTAATTAATAATTCATATAACATTTAAGGAATAATGTTTCTGTAAGATATAAGTTTTTATACATTATATGTCCTTTTGTGAGACCTTCAACACATCCATCATAAAATTATATATGGTTGCAACCCGGTGTATCAAGATTTCGAAGAGACTTAAGACTCGTTCAGTTTAGAATGTCATCTTCATTAACCATGGCTCCTTTCCATATTTCAAGGATAGGAAATCAAATTATCTTCTTTCAGATAACTTGTATTTGTATGTTTGTATTTATTAGGGAAGAGGGTGTTATACCATATATACCAGAAATACCAATACATACTGAAGCTATAATAAATTATAATCGTACATTAAGTCGTGTTGATGGTATATATACAGGACCTGCTGGTCTAGAATCTACATCACTTATACTTACATATGGTTTAGGTAAGATGTTCTTAAGGTATACTTTTAAAGTATCACCTGTTTTCAAAACAATCTTTTTATGACCTAGACTTCCTGGAATAAACGATCCCTGCATTGGCCGAGAAAGTACATCCAGATTTTCCGGCGTGGTTCCCGCTTGTCAGTGATGCAGGACAGAGGGCCTGACAAGGACAGATGTCTAGTCGTTTGGATGGGATGAAAAACTGAGGTCCTGTGTACACATTGGCGTGCATGTAAAAGATCCCTTGACAGTTGGAATTCGATATAAGAGTAGGCCGTCTGGCCAAAACTTCCCTCATAGCACAATGTATGGCGTATGCCCGTCTTCATTAGCCCAGTTCGGAGCAGAACAGTAGGACGAAAACAAAACACCATTTCATTTCATTTCCTGGAATAAAAAAATGAGCCCAGGGACCAGCGATAATCATATTTTATTTATGATGCATTTCTGTTCTTTTGTCCGACTCATGTAGGAAGGTCAGTTTATTTTGCTGAGAAATAAGTAGGAAAAACTGTTACATAGGCAAATCAAGTGCACTGATTTAGAAATATTTCACAAACTTTAATTATCCTGCCCTGAATGAAGTTAAAGGAGCGATATTGATATGGGTTTCATCCTTCTGTCCTGCAATTTCTTTCTTGAGAATATCTGATACACCATTCAAGATTTCTTTATCAAACTTTGTAAACACATCAACTTATTGTAGTGGTTGTGTTACCACAAAAACACATTTGACTTAGAGGGGGATGAGATGGCTGAATGGTTAGGACGTGTACGCTGTATCATAAGGTCTGTCATTGAGTCAACTGCCGTGGGTTCGGTTCGCCGACCCGAGTAGGGTCGCCTGTCCAACCTTGTGGGTTTTCTCCGGGTCCTCCGGTTTTCTCCCACTGCTAAAGACCCCTACACGCTATTGAAGTATTGAAATAAAATTGAACCATGTGTTAGTCCGAAAATGACCTAGATTGTGTTGAGTGTACGCTAAACCCCATTTCTCTCTCTTTTGAAATACAATCATTATTCCAGAGCATATCTCATTCAAGCCATTCAAGATATCTGACACGGAATAGGAGACTGAATTATATATATTTTTAACCTTATGTTTATTTTTTTATTTCAGATATGTTCTACACCCGAGTTATGCCATCTAAAATGTTCGATGTTTTAAAAGAAGATTTTGATTATGTTTTAATTGGTTCCATTTTATTTATTATGATTCTTGTATCAATATTAACTCAAAAGTTAGCCGCTAAAAGAGCTCTATCCAGGGCATGGAAGTAAATCTCGTTTAATATTAGTGTAGAATTTTATCCAATTTTTCTCCTCGTTTTGTGTAATGTTTTCTTTGTTTTTTTGTGTGAATTGAATTATGTTTGGTTTTGTATAAATGGATCTATGTTTTTGTATTTTTTACTGAATCAGGTTATAAAAATTTGTATTTGTTTATATGTGCATTTGTATAAAGACTCCTTTCAAAAATTATGTAAAACAAAGGATTATACAAAAAGTTGTATTTATTGATATGCATATTTTGTATAGGGAGGTCTTTCAATAATTATGTAAAACAAGGGATTATATAAAAGGATATTGTGTATGTATGCATTTTGTATAAGGACATTTTGTATATTGTGTATGTATGCAATTTGTATAAGGACATTTTATATAAGAACATCTTGTATATTGTGTATGTATACATTTTGTTTAAGAACATCTTGTATTTGCGTATGTATGCAGTCTGTATAAAGACATCTTGTATATTGTGCATGTATGCATTTTGTATAAAGACATCTTGTATATATGCATTTTGTATAAGGACATCTTGTATATTTTGTGTGTATACATTTTGTATAAGAACATCTTGTATATGTATACATTTTATATAAGGACATCTTGTATATTGTGTATATATGCATTTTATATAAGAACATCTTGTATATTGTGCATGTATGCATTTTGTGTAAAGACATCTCGTATATATGCATTTTGTAAAAGGACATCTTGTATATTGTGTGTGTATACATTTTATATGAGGGCATTTTTTATGAATAATGTAAAACATAGGATTATATATTGAGCATAATACATGTTTATGTATATTTATGATAATAATCAAGGGGTTGTTTCTAGATCAGTTTAAAGGGGTACTCAATAGTTAATACAGATCAATTAGGCATGAATATGTGCAACATCTGAAACAAATCTTAATAATACATTACAGGTATTTATTTGAGAAGGTTTAAGGTTAGGGATGTTACATGTATGATGTCGCACTCATGTTACTGTGGTTTCTAAGAAGTTCGATGCACAGTTGTGATGATTGCTTTGCTCTATGTAGTGAGGTACTGGGAACTTTATAAAAAACAAACGACCTGGGACTCTGAATGTGAAAAGTTATGTCTCTAAAAAAAAATTTTCTTCTGGTATCCACATTAGATGTAGATTATGTACTTTATATTTCATCTGTTTTACATACAGGTTTGATTCAGATGACTTTTTCTTGATCATCTCACACTGACTGATTTGACTAATAGGCGAAACTGTGGAGATCTATTGATAAGCTGTTTTTTTTATCATTAAGACTTTTGAGATGGTGAGAAACCATCTTCCAGTTTCACAGAGATAATATTTTTATTATTATTATTATTACACTTTACATAAATATGAACAGACATATTAGAGCAAGAAAATATTACATTTACATAATGAAAAGAGATAACAAAGAGAATATACTTGATGAAATATATAAAAAAAAAATTGTTATTGTCACCCACCTTTGGACAAGATAACTTTGATTCTATCTGATAGAGAGTAATGAAACTTAGTGTATAGTTGATAATCAGTTTGATTGCTCGATACTTTTGAAAAAAAAATAAATGTGCGATTAATTAATATGTGTCATCGATTTATTTTGGGATTTCGGCGGGGGACATCAGCCTCACTGTTGGCTTGTTATAGATTAAATTACATGTAACTAAAAATTAAAAGAGCTCTGGATAAGATAGATTTTTATTTCTGACAAATGGGTTCAGATGGGATATTTATGTGGACAGGTTCTGCTAACTATATTTAAGAAGAACTTTAAATTTGTGTAACATTTTGCAAAGACAATGTTGCTTTAATTGCAAATTTTACTGTTAAATGTTCATGTGTTGAATCCAAGGAGCAAATGTTGATTGTTTATCAAAATATTGTTGGTGTAATATATTATTTTGTTGTTTAAAATATAATTAAATTATCAATTGTAAACACAATCAAATATTCCATACACTTTTCATACTACTAAATAAAACCATTTAACACTTATATTATGTTTGTAGTCTTTGAAAGTTTTTCCAAATGGCTAGCCTTGTCAAGAGTAAGGGAACTTCCTTTCCACCAGCCAGGCGAGCATTAAAGATACATTATGTAAGATTTAGATAAAGAGCTAGCCATTCTTGCTATAATAGCTCAAAAATAGATAATGTAAAATGAAAATATTGAAAATTTCATTCAAATTACTTCATTCTGAGCCATTTTGAAATGGCGAATTAAAATCTCGAGAATCTGATGCCATCGAAAGTTGATTATGGTCTTGTTTTTTTAATAAATGTCTAATTATTAGTTTATATAACATATCAGGCCTAAAGAAAGACCTGCAATAGGCAGATTTAGCTCTTGCATAATGTATGTTTCCATGCAAGGTATATTTGAATTAGTCAGCAAATGTTGAAAATAATATAAATGTTAAGTTATCTGTACAAAAGTTGGCTATATTGGTTGAAATGGTAATGAAATGAAATGAAATCGGGTTTTACATCCTACTGTTCTGCTCCGATTGGAATGGAAACACACTGGACAAAATTATATATACTTATTTCAGATTCGAACTGTCGAGAGTTCTTTTACCTGCACATCAACGTGTACATATGACCATGGTTTTCGTCCCATCCGAACGATTAGACAGTGTCTTTGCTAGGGCCTCCGTCCTGCACCACTGACAAGGAGGAAACATAAGGATATCTTGGGTTATGTTGGAGAAAGAAAGACTGAAAAAAATAACCCGAGAAAAAGAAAAACAGGCTGACAGGCTGAAGTTTTTCTGTCGATTTTTTTTTCTTCTAAAGTCTGTCTTCCCCAGCATAACCGAAGTCGATGACTTTATCTTGTTTATAAATCGTCTATGTTTACATGTACGCAAAATGAGAATATCCCAGAAGTCCTGTAAGAAAAACCCTATATCATGTTTTCTTATGGAAAAAAAACAACAACCCTACCCTGGAAGTATAACCTGTTACAGGTTTGTTTAAAGAAAAACTTTCAGAAGAATAACCCCAAATTCCCCTGTATATATCCAAAGCAGGCCCGTATCCACCTTGCTGTCTGCGGAGGGGCAGTGAAGGTTTCAGGGGGGTGGAGGGGGTGGGGCACAGCCTACAGTAGGTATTTTAGAGCTATGGTAGGCAACTTTTTTTCCGGAGGGGGGGCAAAATATTTTTTCAGGGGGTCATTGACCTTGCCCCCCCTCCCCCTCTCCGACCCTGATCCAAAGACTTTTAGACCGCAAGTTATTCCGGGCACAGAATATACTTCAAAGATCAAAGATCAAAGAGATTTGCCGTTATAGGTTTATAAATACCTGTAAAAACCAGGTAGTCTATTTTTATAATCCAATAACAAAAAAGAGTATGTCTGGCCGTACTCAGTGATTACGTCATATTTAACCAATAGGAAATGTATTGTGACTTCGTACAACAACGTGTCACCAACAGGTAAGCCATTACATTTGTTTGCTAGTTGATTTTATGATTAATTTTTTTCTGAAAATTATAATCTAGATATTTGGGTGACAATATAGTGCTGGTGACCGAATTGTCATAGAGAAGTAAATATGAACATCGACATGGCATATGAATTTTGACTATCGTTCCGCCTATCTAAACATTGTCAGTTCTTAGACGGAAATAAAGAAACATGTGTACCTGCCTTGGAGCCTGGACAATATAATCGTTCAGATTGGACGAAAAACCGAGGTCTCGTGTACACATTGGCATGCACGTAAAAAAACCCTTGGCAGTCGACAGGGTCCGTAACAGGTCGTCCGGGCCCTGCGACAAGCAACTCGTGCAAGTACATGCCAAGTCATTTCCGATGCTTATATTTGCCAGATCTACTACAAGTCGGCCTTGGTCGGTACTATCCGCAGGTAGCTGTTTATGCACTAGGCAAGTGAGCCAATTTGCTAATGCCAAAATGTCCCAATTGGGAAAAATATCGAAAAACGAAGGTAAAGGTTTCACTTTCAGTTTCGTTGTAATTTATCGGATACTTATGGTGGCTGAAGGGTGACACGACGACACCCCGACATTTTATCCCGACATCTTGACATTTTCGCCCGACAATACATTTTCACCCAATACCCACCACGAAATTAAAAATGTAATGTCACGTAAAAATGTCGTATTGTCGCGTAAAAATGTCGTATTGTCGGGTTAAAATGTCGTGATGCCGTAATGTCGGGTTGTTGGGTTATAGACCATATTTCTCTCAATACCATGATTATGTACACTGATCCTTGTGTTGGTCAAGAAAGTTCCCCATGGATTTTGCAGTGTGGTTTCTCCATGTCGGTAGTTCAGGACAAAGAGCCTGGAAAAGTACAGTGTCTGTGTAGATGTGACACAAATACAAGCTCATGTGTACACATTGGCGTGCACATAAAAGAATCCTTCACAGTTTAAATTAAACAGGTAACAATTCTATGGAATTGGTGCAGAAAAGTAGGAAAATGAAAAGAAATGAAATGGAGTTTAACGTCCTACTGTTCTACTCTGGAATCCACGGTGACTCACTGATAAAGACGCTGGCTCGTTAGCCTGGAGGTTGCGGGTTCGCTGAGAAAGTTCATCGAGATTTTCCGGCGTGGTTTCCTCTTGCCACGCGTAAAGGAATGAGGGCCTTAGATGGACAGCTATCTAGTCATAAAACGGCGGTCCCGTGTATGCATTGGCGTGCACGTAAAAGATCCCTTGGCAGTTGGAATTCGATATAAGAGTAGGCCGTTGCGGCGGTCCAGTCAAAATTTCCCGCATGGCGCTTTTTCATTAGCCAAGTCGGAGCTGAACAGTAGGAAGTGAAACCCCTGTAGAGGTTACAATTTTTATCCGATTAAAAAATTCTTTTAAATATATCACCGTTACACCCTAATGGTGGTTGAGGTCAAATTTCGTGAAAATCGGACCAAAACTGCCGGGAAAAATGGCCACCCCTCGTACGCAGATAGTGTTAAAATATGGTATATGAAGGTTGTGGTCCCTCTAGAGGTCGCAATAATTTTTATCCGATTTTGATGAGTTTGAAAGCAAGCTACTTATTGTTATGCATACTAGATATGTATATATCATTTGTGGGTTAACAATAACTACTTTGTTTTTCGCAATCAGCGTTGTCCAATTCGTTTAAACGAATATTAAATATAAATTCAATTGTCAATATCATTATTCAAATGTGTAAATATTCGTACCTGTATATATACAATTCAAATGTGGAATATCATAATCAAGTATTAAAATATCCAAATTGAAGTGTAACTCAAGAGGGGAATTTAATTCAAGTATAAAATTGAATTTAAGTGAAATATATAATTCAGATTTGAAATATTAATTCCAAGTGTGAAAAATAAATTCAGTGCGAAATATATAATTCAAGTGTGAAATATAAATCCAGGTGTAAAAAAGAATTTGCAGAATTTATGTGAAATTGCAGATTTCAAGTGTAATACTTCAATATTGTGTTTAAAATATAAAGAAACTGAATTCAAACCTTCATTCTTCGCACACAAGTTTCTACACAATCTAATTAAAATACAGATCTATATTTCGTTTCGTTTTTTTTATACTTTCGATGGACTGCATGAAAATATGACCAGTTGAAGTGGAAGGTTGCGTCAGGGATCATACGAGCGGCTTTTGATCCAATAACGTCAGGCATGTGATTAACCAATTAGCGTAGATGTTTCTAGTAGGATATCCAGAGTTCCGTGCACGCCAAGAACTTGCTGCAACAGACTGTTTCGTTGGCTAATCCCTCACATCAACCAGAACACGGGTTATATAACAATTCTTCCAGGTCCTAGTGTAGTAAAGACAAGTTAAACGACATGTTGAACTATATAAAAAGCGAAACGAAATAGGATCCGTGTTTTAATCAGATTGGTTTCTACACATCAATCAACTTCAATGAATAAGCGTACATATGTCATGTGCAAACACTGGTATAATAAACTGACGGATTTTATACAATTTGATCAAACAGTTATTATCGAATAAAATCAATCAAATTTTTACTTGATTTACTAATTGCTGTCAGACAGGAGGGTAACTGATGCAAATATTGTTAATACCACAGAGGCTATGGTTTTATAGAGACTTATTCCATATGGTGTAGGGCATTTGGGTCAGGAACGCTGTGATTGATATTCAATGTTCCTCGATTTTCTGTTCTGGAGTTATCCCCACATGTTAATGCAAAAGAGGCTACAGTTTTTAAGTTACAACTTTGGTATGAATCGTTAGGACTGTGAGGTTAGATTTCTTAAAAATCATAAAGGATCCTTATCACATTTTGTCAACCTGCACTGTTTCCTTTGGATAAGCTTCTGTTTATTGATATATATTCATGGCAAAGCTGCTGTGTGGCGCATGTCCACGAATTGCCTGGCTACAAGCATACTGTACTTACAATCCGTATGTGTTTTTGATGCCTTAGATATTTCATAAATTGTTTTATTTGTATAAACTATATAGGAGTCAGTGAACGCCATACGAGAAGCGAGCCTGAATGTGATTACCAGATGGAATAAAATTCATGGAACATTGGTTTGTTATATCTTCGACTAAATAAGAAGATACAATCATGGCTGCTTCGTTTACTGGTAATTTCCATATCTTTTTTAAAGGTCACAAATTTCGTCACTCTTAAAATACAGATTGAGAAGGCTGCGTGTGGGGTGTGGCAGTAGAGGGGGTTAGGGGGTTAGGGTGTACAAGGTGTGGGAGTGGAGGGGGTTAGGGTGTACAGGGTGTGGGAGTAGAGGGGGTTAGGGTGTACAGGGTGTGTAGCGTGTATATGGTCTGTGGTGTGTACAGGATAGGACTATTGGGTGTGTATGATGTATAGGGTGTGTATGATGCACAGAGTGTGTATGATGTATAAATGAAATGAAATGGGGTTTAACGTCCTACTGTTCAGCTCCTATACTGGGCTAATGAAGACGGGCATACGCCATACAGTGTGCTATGAGGGAAATTTTGCCTGGGTAGCGGCAC